TAGTGCATGCTCAGCAAGCATTCTACAACTCTATCCCTAGCCCCTCTCACTAAATTTTTGGAGAGACTATAATTATTTTTCATCATAAATATTCATATTAAAACAGTGGGTTTATCATATTTTAAATAAATGAATAAAAATACATTAGAATTTTTCTCTTATCAGAATTAAATATTTCCTCTGCTCCTGCTCTCACTCTTTTGGTAACCCAGGCTGGCCTTGAACTTGTGATCCTCCTGCCTGGTTCTCATTCTGATAAGGTATACATCAGTAGACACAAGCTCTTTGGATCTTCAGATGTTTAAGGACTGGAAAGGGATCCTGAGATCAGGCAGGTGTGAGCACTGCAGGCTTAGGACTATTAGCATAGAAACAACTCTAAATAAGCAGGAAACCAGGGCCATCTCCATATGTTTGTAAAAATTGTGTGTGTGTGTGTGTGTGTGTGTGTGTGTGTGTGTGTGAGAGAGAGAGAGAGAGAGAGAGAGAGAGAGAGAGAGAGAGAGAGAGAGAGAGAGAGAGAGAGAGAGAGAGAGAGAGAGAGAGAGAGAGAGAGAGAGAGAGAGAGAGAGAGAGAGAGAGAGAGAGAGAGAGAGAGAGAGAGAGAGAGAGAGAGAGAGAGAGAGAGAGAGAGAGAGAGAGAGAGAGAGAGAGAGAGAGAGAGAGAGAGAGAGAGAGAGAGAGAGAGAGAGAGAGAGAGAGAGAGAGAGAGAGAGAGAGAGAGAGAGAGAGAGAGAGAGAGAGAGAGAGAGAGAGAGAGAGAGAGAGAGAGAGAGAGAGAGAAATTACAATGTGGGTGAAAACTGTAATGTGTTGTCCTTTGCCCCTGCCCTCTTTCTTCCCCTGCCCTGCACTCAGTAGGGCTGTAGGTTTAACACAGAACTCAGTGTTCTCTACAGGGTCCCATGTGCACAGTCTCCTGGTAGAAGCACAGCCCAGGCCTTTTCTGACAGCCTGAGCTGCACAAGAGCAGAGGAGAGTTGGGGAGAATGGCAGATGCTGCACACACAAGTGGGAGAGAGAAAAGCGGCCGCTGTGCAGGGACGTGGTAGGGAGCAGTGCTCGTGGGCTTGGGAGCCTGTTGGGGTGCATCATCACTTCCTTGCTTTGGTTAGGCGCAGATAAACCCGAGGCCTGGCTGTATCTTTGTGACTTTGCCTTGTGAAAGAAGCTGCTCCCTGCAGAGCATCCCAGCGGAGGAGCTGCGTGCATACTAAGCTTTCTCTTACTGTTGCTTCCACAGATCCTTTGTCTATGGGTCCTCAGAAAGCTCTGGAAACCATTGGTGCGAACTTACAGAAGCAGTATGAGAACTGGCAGCCAAGGGTAAGCTCGAGTACTTCCCCTTTTCAGTACTTCACCCGCTAGCCTGTGGTGCGTGCCCACTCTTTCCATCCACAGCTCACAGGGTGTTGGGAGCCATGCTTCTGGGAGGCTATTGATTGCTGTAATTTCCCCCAGAAAACTTTTAGGAAAGAAAAACTGTCCTTCATGTTACTCTTAAATCATGGTTTTTATTTTGCACAGAAAATGAATTTTCAGTAACGAGTCTACAGTATCAGCTAGGGAGAGCTGTCCGTCCGTCTTTCTTTCCTTCAGTTTTCAGACAGGGGAGAAAAAAGTACCTAGTGTTCAAAGGGTGGTACCTCTTATGCACTTGGCCTCTGATTTAGGAGGTAAGAATCCTTCCAGGGAGCCAGCTACCAATAAATGTGTTTTGTTGCTTATCTCTTACAGTTCGTACTTTTACTGAAAAGTGCCTAGAATTTAACTCTGTCACATTGCCCATAAGATCTTAGCTATCTGTCAACAGCTGGGAGACCTGTTTCCTTCATCCTTTCTCATAACCGTTTTGAAGATTTAATAAATTGAATAGGAAATTAGAAACTTGGGGTGTTGATGGAAGTGCATTTATAGTCCGCTTGTGTGAGGTGTGGCACTTGGAACCGTCTACAGGTGTGTTAGTCAGCAGGTGAGGTGGGTGGGGGAGGCCTTAGCTGGGTGCTTACAGTGTGGTTTTGACTCCTGTCTTTTGGCTGTAAGTGTAATGGGAAGGAAAAAAAAGTTTTAGAACTGAGCTGCTTAACCTTTGCCTGCTCAAGAGGCTGATTTATAAATTGTTTATCCACAGATCTCAATTCAGGGGCCTCTTGTACATTCTTTACATTCTTCAAGATTGTCAGAAATAAACTTGTTCTACCTTTAGCAATGCCTGTAGGTAATTTCCGCAGTGGCCCCTGGCAGATGACTAATTGCTGGGAAGGTCCCCGGGGCTCTGCTTTGCAGTTGGGCCTTTGTTCTTTAGAAGGCAGGTTCTCAGGGCTTGTTTTGATATGCACCTAAAGGATTGCTTTTTGTCTCTCAAATCTGTTTTTCTTTGATGGTTCATATAAAAATTCTGGAGACTGTAGTATATTTGGCAGTTGGGTGCGTATTGGAGAGAGAGTTTGATGTTATTTTCCTTTAAAAGTAGTTGAGATGCCAGAGTCCCGTGAAAGAATAGCTCCTTTGACGACTTTGAAGGTGTCCTGTGTGTCAGAAGGTGGGCAGGCATTGAAGGGAGCGTGGAGCAGTGTGATTGTGCTGCCTTCCGCACTGTGTGTTGGAACAGTGCCCTTCCGACTGGGCTGCCCCTGCCTTTCCTGGGTTGGCTTCATGCTCTGCTTATTTGGTTTAGGTGGAACAGCATGACCACAATACTCAGAGCTTCCAGTTGTGAGCTCAGAGAGCTATCAGATCAGTTCAGGTTTTCCCAAGGCTGTTCTTAGAGTGAGCTCTGCTGTTCTAATGATTATTTTCTTCTTTCAGGTTATGTATGTTTACGATTTCAGGATATTCGTGTTTCATTTTTGTGTGTTTTACTGCCATCTTTATTGTTGTGGCTTGGCAGGTGTCGTACTGGCTAAGAGTGAAAACTTTTAAAGTAGGATCTGTTGCTTTTAAGAATTTCTGTCTGAGAGCAAATCTGTTCCATGGATTGTGACATAAGGCAGGCCATACTTACATGCAGGTGAGTGAGCCTGGACACAAGGACAGCAGTATGAAGCAAATGCAGGATGAGATGGGGGAGTGGGGCTGGCACAGTGGGCACAGTCCTCAGGGAAACTCTAGTCTTGGAAGTCCATTAACATCAGCAGATTTCAGGAGTGGATCTGTAGGCTCAGATCTTGTTTTCCTGAACAAAAGAGTTTGGTAGATGGAGGTGGTTTTAAGGCTACAGGATGTTCAGGAAAATATGTCAGCGTAGCAGCCCAGGTGGGATTCCATCTGGGTTGGTTCATAGACTAGAATTTGGAGTAAAGTGTTAGCTGCAGCTTAGCAGGAAGCTGTGCGTGCAGACTGCAGGGTCTTTTCCTACATTCAGAAAACTAGACCACAGCTAGGAACACTGAATATTTTCTTTTCGAATGCCATTCATTTTTAAATGTGCTAAAAATGTCTCAGAATTTCCTGAAGGAAGTCATTAGTGGGACTCCTTCATTGAAGAAGAAGAAAAAAAGCCCAAGTTACCGGTGTCGCAGGTTATCTCTGACTGGATGGAGCACACTGACTGCAGGGCCTTTGCTGTAAGCCCCTGTACTAATAGTCCAGGCCCTGGTGTGCATGCTGGGCTTCTCTGCCCTGTTGCCTTCATGTGGGCTGAGGCTAGAGCAAAGAGGCCTGGCTTCGACGCAGAACCACTCCATGGGTGCAGACATCATGCTGCGGGTGTTAAGTTTGCACAGAATGTGCGGCAATTATAGACTCAGATGTGTGGTGCAAGGTGCCTGGCCCCTGACTGTAAATCAGGTCTTTGAAGCATCACCGAGTCAAACACGTACCACTCTATTGCCCCCTCCAGAGCTCTTGTGTTTCTGCTGTAGTAAAGAGAGGTTGATGTGCCTCTGCAACCAAACAATGGGGATGTTATTAAATTTCCTAGACTTTTAATGGAAAGACCCAGAGATGCGGTTTTCTCTCTCTGTATCTGCTTTATTGCAATACTCACAAAGGTTGGGTAATTTGCAGTGAGGTCGTTTCATTCATGTTTACTGAAATCAGATCCGCCTCTGCGGTGGTGTGGTGAGAACAGAGTGTGGAGGAGCAGGAAACTGACCGTGACCCACAGAGCTAAGGGACCATGGCACACCGCTCATTGGCACACCACTCGCTTGCCAGCTTCAAAGCTCACTCTTCTTGCTTGCTTTTCTAGCCGTGACAGTTCAGATTAGATGCTTTTGATAAAGGTGATTTTGGTTGAGGGAGGAATTTAGATAAACCACAATGATTCTATTTATTTCTGAAGGCTGCCAGGTTCTATATAGGGCTGTATTTCCTTGGCTGGTTGATTGAGTCCTTTTCTAAACAATTTACCAGTTTTCTGCTAGTGAAATATTTGCTCTGGTTAAATTTAAGGCTTTACCTTATTACCTTTAGGGCCATCAATTTTTGTTCTGTAGAAGAGTGAAGGGAAAACGCCAGCCGCTGCTTCAGCTGGACAATCTGCAGTAAAAGCTCCTTGTTTCATGATGAGCCTCAAGTGGAAGCTTTATTGGGAGCCAGGAGCACAGCCTTCTAACTCTGGGAATACACAGTGCAGAACTAACCCTTCTAGGAATCTGCCTAGCAGATTGGGGTACTGGCAGTTTATCACAAGATGCAAATTAGGAGCTGACGCAGCCAGCAGGATGAGCCCACTTGCCAGGTCTTCTTTCCCCAGAGCCAGGAGTGGAAGGGCCCACGTCTCTTCTGGGGTGGATTCCAGCTCCTTTTGTGTCTCACGGATAAGTTCTGTGGGCATCATTACCGTTTACTATGGACGGTGAGTCACTTTGAGGCAGCTGATGCTGTTGGCAGGGAGCTGAGGTGACCACTCCCTGGGTCCATTTGACAGTGTGTGTGTCGGCAAAGGGGAGAACAGGCCTCTGATGGAGCACTTTGCTGTGGGAGCCCCTTCTCATCTTGACCAGCAGGAGCACGGAGGCCTCAGTCCTGTGCAGTAGCTGTGGGCTGTCCAGGGAGCTGAAAGGCCATTAGGGGCTACACATGGCTATGTGCTGTGGGCTGCTCTGAGCAGGTTTTAGGCCTTAGCTCCCTTCAGTCTCTTGAGTCTGTCATAGTGGATGTGTGGTCAATGAGTGAACTCATCTTTTCCTATTAAATGAACCTGTTTTTATAGAGCTTCCTGAGTTCTATTGGATGGTTGGAGATACTCTTTCTTTCTCTTTTGGACATTTGTAGCCCTGTCCTCTGGTGTTTAGGTGCAGCTGTTACTTTGAGAGCACAGTGTTTATATGTATTTCCATGTTTATGGGTTGCTATTAGAGCTCCTGGGATCTGGGCTTTTGTGCTTCCTCCCAGAAGTGGGTTGGATGCCGGTTGTTGGGAGACTTGAGGGGTCAAGCATGGAAGCCTGCCCAGTGAACCAAGAGTGCCAGGCTTGGAAGAAGCTCTTCTCACAATGCTGTATTCTCAGAACCCCTAGGATGGGCTTATAGATGCCCTTTTCTTGGACTGATCGTTGTTCTGTGGTCCATAGGCCCTAGATGCCTCCTCCTTTTCTGAGGAAGACTAGGGACAGAGTGGTACGTATTGGTATTAGTAGCTCTCCTGGCCCTGCTTGGGTTCTGGATGGAATTTATACTGCGATGTGCTAGACACTGGTAAGTGCCAGTCAGTGTGCTCTGCCTTTGCATGGGGTCTTCAGAGTGGGTAATCTGGGAAGGAGCTAAGGTACCCTAAAGACTGGGAGGTACTCAAAATTATTCCAGAGTAGACTGATAAAGGACCGTCACTGTGCAGGGACTCCAGCTTGTGTTAGTCACATTTTGATATTAGTTCCGAACTAACAGGTGCCACTGAGCTGGAACACAGTCCTGTTACTGCATTGTTCTTGTTCCTTGGCATGCTGCTGGGATGCTGTTATAGTAATGTCCTCCTGGTCTGGCAGTTCCCCTGCTAGCCAGCCCTCCCTCCTCTGTCCTTCACAACCTGGCTTTCCTTCTCTGTGGGGGCTGAAGGTTGGGCTCTGTCCACTTGCTTCTGTTTTTGTGACAAACTGCAAATGAGGACTCTTAGCTAAAGGCAGAACTGTAACTTCTGGCTCACTGATGTGGTTCAGGATCCTGTGTGGAGTGCTTTGCCTCCTGTCCTCATTAAATTTTCATGCTGGTGTAGACACATCTTCTGGCTGTCTTGGGATAAACTGAGTGACAGTTTTCTGTAGCTGCTTCCTGCCCAGATGTTAGGAATTGTGCCTGTGACAAACATTTTGCTTGTATTTTTGCTCTGGCCTTAATCGTGCTCTATCCTGCATCTTCCCTCCTCGTCTCTTCTAGCGTGACAGC